TATCAACGCCCATGGTTTTGGAGTAGGATGTCCAACAAGCTTTTATAGGAGTGATAGTCAAGTGTCCAAAAACTTTTGGTCACCTAGGGGCTGATCTATAAATGTACACTGGGGTGGATGCCATTTGCATGGCATTAGCTCCTCTAGATGGGGCCGGGAGACATAGGGAACTTCCAGAAAAGGTTACAAAAAGAAAAAGTCCAGTGTATCTAACGCTCTCTGTGGGGTTCGTGGTGTCTTTCGTTGGTGTGCGGCTCCTGGTAGGTACAGAGCGGGGTGTCCGACGTGTGTGCTAAGGCAACAAGAAAGGAAGGGAACCGAAGCACCACAGCCTAGTGCAAAGACTTGGGTGTGATGGGGCGGTAGTGGTAACAAAGTAGTACAGCGGAGTGCACCACTGGATTGACCATCATTATCATTTTCACTTTGGTCTGCAAATGTCAATATCCTAGAGCAGTGGTTCTCACCCTGTGTAACCTCAGGACCCACATTTGTCCTCGGTCATTAAGTTGTGACCCAAGTCGCACTGCAATGGGATGTACAGCATTGCAGTACCGTACGTTCAGGTGCGGGCGATCGAGCTGTGGGTGGGAGGTGCATTTGGGGTGCCATTCAAAAGGTTCATCCAGTCTGCCTACCTTACCAGAACAGGAGTGGATCCTCAGCCTGGGGTCCTGTGTGGGCTGCTGTGCTGTGACACAGCTCAATCCATATGTGCATTGCTTGTACAGCTCCCTTGCGTGCCCTGTAGAGGTGCCGGGAGCCAGAATTTGATGTCACTCCAGTACAGGCACCTCTATAGGACACGTGAGGTAGCTGTACGTATGGATGGAGCTCCCTCATGGCCATAGCCCCAGCCCATCCCACCTCAAGCTGACACTCGGCACCGGGCAGCATATGAATGGCTGTTTGGCTCAAGAACTGGCAGTGCTGCAAAAGGGGAAGGATGAGGAAGGCACGGAGTGACCCACGGAACATGGGATCGCGACCCACTTTTGGGTCACGAGCCCCAGTTGAGAACCATGGTCCTAGAGGACCTACACCTACCCCAACCACACCACAATACCACGACTTTGACAATGTTTCCATGCTGAAGCTCATGTCCACTCTCCCACATGAGAGTATAATATTGTTTGTACTCCCGTGTTCCATGACACCCAAGTCTTTGCGCTAGGTTGTGGCGCTCCGGTTCCCTTCCTTTCCTGTTTGCTTAGGGAATTTTCATGTTCCTCAGCGCCATCTATTAGAGCTAGAGGCATAGCAACAGCATCTGTTAAGCCATACACTGGGAAAAACACTTATACATCAGCCCCATAGTGTACAGGCGCGATCCCATTGCACTACTGGGTTGTTGTAACACTAAAGAGGCCCTGTCACCCTCTGAGATCCAAACACAATTTAATAAATAGTGACCCGGGGCTTAGATCCTATTTAATCATGTTAATTATTGTACTTATATGATGACATATGGCTCCATAGCAAATAATTGGTTGTTTTTCGTGGCAGTACATCCCACCCACTGTGAAAAATTCCACTGATGGACTCAACAGACTCCGCCAAGAGATGCGAAACCACAACATCAGCGCTTACATCATCCCGTCAACTGACCCCCACCTGGTAAGAGCATAACCCCCAACCCCCAACCACCTAAGCTTCAGCACCTATAGGGGCAGCTCTTACCCCGATCCTACAATGCTTGGCTCTCACTCACTCGCTGCACCCAAGGAAGGGCCATCACAATGTTCCTAGAAGCAGATACGTTTGTTGTATTGAATGAAGAATATGTAATTGAAGCAGAAATAAAGATTAAGGGGGATATTCCCAAAGCTGCCGAAGGCAGTGGAGTGAATAATCCAGCCGAAGTGAATATTCACTCTGGCTCAGTACAGCTGATTTCAGCCGTACATCGGCTGCACTTCGGTCAGCTGAACATGCTCTGTATGTTCGGCTGAGCCGAAGTGCAGAAGGACTTCGACTCAGCCGGTGCAACATCTGGATCGGCTGAGCCAAAGTTCCGGCAGCTCACTCGCTGCCGTTCGCCCCTATTCACATATGACCCGAATGGCAGTGAGTGAATAGCTGAATGCCGCTGTCGGCTATTCTGCTTGGTACCTCTGCTGTACCGAGCGGAATAGAAAATCAATGAAAAGAGTTTTTTTTTTAAAAGGTTGAAAAAATATTTTTTAAATGTAAATAAATAGTAAAATAAAAAAAATAGATAAAGATTTTTTTAAAAGAACAAAAAAAACTATTGGGTGAAGTTAGCAGTGACAGCTAGCTCCGCCGACCTTTTTCCTATTGGCCGGCACCTGCTAGAGTCTTGTTCATGTTTAATGACAGATCAGCTGATCTGTCATTACAATTGGGCGGAGTCGGCCGTGAGATCACGGCTGGTTCCGCCCAGCTGTCATTTGCGGGGCTTATGCCTGGCCTACGGCAGGCCGTTCTCCCCGCTTTGGGTGCCACTTTGGCTCTGTTGAGCCGAAGGATATGCCTTTGGCTCGGCTAAGCCGCTCGGCCGCCTTCTGCTGCTGTACGGGCTATAGTGAATTAAACTGCCTTGTCTTGTATTCAGGCTGTGATGGAAAAAAAACACTCAGTGCAACCCAAATGCACCGGGTGTGAAGCATGCACTACTTTTTTCCACCACAAGGCAACTCATGGTATTGTGGTACTGCGGGTTGTGGTTAAACGCATTGCTGCCAGGAGGGGCGTTTGGGGGGGGCATTCGCGCCCCACCCTTCACGGTTTAGACTTACCTGACTCCTGCAGCCCCTTCTTCCGTGTCTTGGCGGCCAGGGGGCGGGACTAAGTGAAGCGGGTCTTCTCACACACAGCAGAATGTGCTGCCTGGCTCTTTTTTCCTCTCTGAGCCCCCCCAACAGGTGGAATGCCAAGACCTGGTCGCAATTGCGACCGCTGCGACCCTGGTAGTTCCACCAGTGCATGCGAGGCCCTGTCAGCTGGGCTGTACGGGACCCCATGATTTCTAATGGCAGCCCTGGGAATAGGTGTCCCCTTTGGAAGATTTCCCCTCATTTCCGGTTCCAGTTACCCTTCTGCTGTGGAGGACCAAGCTCCTCTCTGCTCTGTTTGAAGCTCACTCCAGGGCAGTCAGGGGGCAGCTGTGGGATAGGAAGTGGCCCTGTTCCCCAGCATCAGGGGCCCAGTCTGCTGCAGCATCAGTCGCGATGCCATTGCACATATCTGACCCCCTCCACAGCTGTACCCTCAATACCAGTAAGCCACCCGCAGAATATTCTCCAGTAGAAGGCAGAGTGAGCGGTGAGGTGCTAATCCATGTTCCAGTTGTTTCCAGCTTTTGTTACCATTTTCCTCTTTCTCTCATTTCCACCAAATTGATGTGAATTGTTCACATTTGAATGTTTTAATCAAATAACAGAAACAAAGGCAAAAAAAATAAATGATGAAAAATATATAAATGAATATAAAAAAAATGAAGAAAAATATATAAATTAATATAAATAAATAATGAATGATGAAAAATGTATAAATAAATAATAAATGATGAGAAATAAATGAATATAAATAATAACAGATGAAATCATTTTTAATATCTAGTATACACATATAATCTGCTGGAAAAAAGAAACTCAATCAATAATCAATAAATATCAATAAGAAAGTAATTTCATTTTTGTTTAAAGTAGAACTACGGCCTCCCACTAAAAGCACTTCCTTTAATTATAAGTCCATCTGCACTTAAAGTTTTCTCTTAGTCCTCCTACAAAGTCCCATAAATACCTGTTGATCCTACCAGTGAAGCCCACCTTCCTGTGATGGGGTGGCCACGATGCTGCACTGCTCCTAAATTCAGAGCAGAGTTGTCGCCATCATGTAGGCTATGCCTGCTTATACCACAGTGGCATGAGATGTTTCAGGAGGCGTGGCTATCAGCATTGTCACTGCAACATCAGTGCTGGCCACGCCTAACCCCGCCCACTGTCTTCTGGATTAACAGCTCTGCCTCTGCTGCTAAGACCCTCCCACTGTGAGCTGCAGTGTCTGGGAGGGGGAGTGTGTGAAGCACAGAGGAGCATTTGGCTCGGCCAGGGACGGTTACATAGTTATAAAATGAGTCTGGTTGAAGAAAGATCCAAGTCCACGGAGTTCAACTAAGGTAAAGGAAGTTTTTCATTTTCTTTATCCCCCCCGTTTGGTTTTTTTTTTTGGCGTATGAGGAAATGTCCCCTTACTTCCTGTTAATACCCGTAGTAATAGAAAAAGTTTCTCCAACAGGGACACAGACAAAAGGGAAGAGTAGAGAGTGGAAGAGTTAGAGCTTCTGGCAATGTAGTCCTTGCTGTCCCTGCCTACTGGTCCAAATGATAATCACCCCCCTCCCTGCATCTATTTCCTTGTTTCTTCTACTGGGGTCAATGAGACAGGAAGTGAAGAAAAATCTCCTTAATGGTATCAAAGAGTAATACCGTAGAAAAACACAACAGAAAATGCAACCCTTCCCCACTCAAGAATAATACTTTAAAGTGAACTCCAGCTACATATAAGACATGCAAATGAATGAAGATCTGTATTCATTACTACATGAATAAATTTATTTTAAAATGCAAGCAGTGTGAGTGCCTAAAGGTGACCCCCGTGTCAGCCTCTTGTGGCCCCTGTACAGCAGGGCTGGAGTGTGAAAGGAAGGAGCAGCGCAAGGGGGCCAATCAGTGCATGCACTGACAAGAAACATGCTAATAGGTGGAGAGAGCAGAGTGATAGAGAGGTGAGCTCATCACCGTGCTGCTACTCTTTTCACTGTCCAGTCACAGGCTGGGGGCAGGTCCAGGATGACCATTGAATAAATCTGGCCATCAAACTGAGGACATCTAGTGGAAGAAAAAGGTACTGCAGGGTGAATCTCTGGATTGAAGGGGATTATGGCAGTAAGTGTTGGTTTTGTTATTTTATCTTTTAATGGGCTATTGGTTTTATTCTTGTCCCTTGGGCTGGATTTCTGCCATACAAAAATATCATTTTTTGTTAACCTTACTGTGGGGTTGATTTACAAAAAGAGCAGAACCTGTTCACCTGTTTACTAAGACTCACCCACACCCTTTTGCTCCTTTAGTAAACCAGCCTCTTTGTGTCCTGCAAACAGGGGGAGTACATTGCCGACCAGGAAAAACGGAGGCAGTGGATGACCGGCTTCACCGGATCCGCAGGTAACGATCCCCAACGACCCAGGAAGCCTCTACACTATGCGATGTCTGTACTTCTATGTGCTCTCCTATAGATACTAAGGGGGGTTATTCATGAATAAGCCGAAGGATCCAGCCCCAGCTTCTGGGATCCAGCCCTAGCTTCTGGGATCCAGCCCTAGCTTCTGAGATCCAGCCCCAGCTTCTGGGATCCAGCCCTAGCTTCTGGGATCCAGCCCTAGCTTCTGGGATCTAGCCCTAGCTTCTGGGATCCAGCCCTAGCTTCTGAGATCCAGCCCCAGCTTCTGGGATCCAGCCCTAGCTTCTGGGATCCAGCCATCAGCACCATCATCTCCGGTGTGCTAAGCACTCATATCAGCCGCAGGCACTCGTGCCCTTCTCTGTCAGGCTTACACACCAAGGTACCTGACAGGGTGTTACTGAATGTGATGAAATAGGTCTGTTTGGCTGTGTGGGGGCAGGTATGTATTTTTGGAGGGCGGAGTTATATAGGGGGAAGTCCAGCATGGATTCGGATTTACTCCATAGTCATTCAAGAGCATGACTATGTTAAACCTAAATCGGCATGGGGTCAGAGACCTCATAGAGGAAAGGTGTTCTGATTGCATTTACATGATTGGAGCTAGCGGGTGTTATTAAAGTGACATTAAACCCTCAGATTTTTTAACATAAACCAATACTGTAATGTGCGCCTTACTGTAATCCATGGTTGTTTCCCTTCTCTTTGCTACTCTTCCTTTTAAATCCTCATGTCTTCTCATGCTTGGGGAGAACTTCCTTTGCAGCTGAGTGCCTCTTCCTGTAGTGCTGGCTCAGGTTGCAAACCTACACACAGACACCATGTATCCAATCCAGAGACAAGGCAGTCTGCTGCAAAACAGAAGTTCTCCCCCAGCATGAGAAGACATGAGGATTTAAAAGGAAGAGCAGCAAAGAGAAGGGAAACTACCATGGATTACAGTAAGGCGCACATTACAGTATTGTTTTATGTTAAAAAATCTGAGGGTTTAATGTCACTTTAAGCCATTCAGAAATGAGAAAGCCGGTCGGATAATCAGCGAAACGTCTTCATGGAAAATACAGCAAGTCCAGTTGCCTTGATTTATTTTTTATAGATAAATTCCACGCAAGTTCATGTTTTTGTTTGCTATCTTTGCTGTTTCTTAATAATAATCCGGCACTTTGCACATATTGGAGGTTTACAAGGAAACGTCTCCCTTTCCATGGCTGGAGTTTCTCTGTTCTCTCGGAGAATCCTTTCAAATTGACTTTGTAACGGGCAAAGTAATTGTCTCCACCTCAGAATAAAATCAGTAAATGATTGGCAGGGTAATAGGAAGGAACGGCTGGTTTATGGTTATGGCTTCATATATACACACGGCCTGAATTATGTTGTAACAGGAAAAAAAAAGGAACAAACAAAGCGATCCGATTGTGATTTATGTGGTTCTAGAGTTCACCTAAATGGTGATATCACATGACTGATATCAGAACCAACACAGCAATAGAAGATTTCCAAACAGCAACAATAAAACCAGCAACTTTGGGGGTTATTCAGAAAGCCGCCGAAGGCAGCCGAGTGAATAACCCAGCCGAAGTGAAGTGAGCTAAATGACGTTCGGTTATTCACGCCGGCTCAGTACGGCTGACTTCAGCAGTACATCGGCTGTAATCAGCGGTACATCGGCTGTAATCAGCGGTACATCGGCTGTAATCAGCGGTACATCGGCTGTAATCAGCGGTACATCGGCTGTAATCAGCGGTACATCGGCTGTAACCAGGGGTACATCGGCTGCCTTCGGTCAGCCGAACATGCTCTGCATGTTCGGCTGAGCCGAAGTGCAGAGGGACTTCGACTCAGCCGGTGCAACATCTGGATCGGCTGAGCAGAAGCTCCATCAGCTCACTCGCTGCTGTTCGCCCCTATTCCCATAGGGGCCGACCGGTAGTGAGTGGATAGCCAAATGCCGCCGAGCGGCATTCGGCTCGGTTATTCTGCCTGGTACCTCCGTAGCAGAATAGAAAATCATTTAAAATAGCCAGAAAAAAAAAAGGTTGAAACATTTAAAAATAAATAAATAGTACAATTAAAAAATAAATTCAAATATTTTAAAAAAGAAAAATAAATAAAAAAAAAACAAAGAAAAACAATTGGGCGAAGCTAGCAGTGACAGCTAGCTCCGCCCAACTGATTCCTATTGGCCAGCACCTGCTCGAGTCTTCTAGCAGGTCCCAGCCAATGAATAACAACTGGGTGAAGCTGGCCGTGATGCCCAGTTGTTAATTTTTAATGACAGATCAGCGTCCCCAGGTCATTTGGGGACGCTGATCTGTCATTACAACCGGGCGAAGCGAACCTTAAGATCGCGGGTGGCTTCGCCCAGCTGTCAGTTGCGGGGGAAACAGCCGTCCCTTCTCCCCGCTTTCGGCTGTCACTTCGGTTCGATGTGAATAGCCCGTACAGCAGCCCTTTGACTGAACCGAAGGGCAGAGGCGGACGAAGAGAGCCAAAGGATCAGCCGAAGCTAAGGCTGGGTCCTTCAGCTCTTTAGTGTATAACCCCCTTTTGTGTCAACATTCAATATTAACGAGTGTTACAAATTGGCTTTTATTATATGTTAAATGACGACAAGTATTAACACCTACCCAGACCAATGCATTCCTATTACAATTAAAGAGATACTATCCCATTGTCTGCGCAGGACGAAGTGGCAGTGTCTTTATAAAGGGCCTACTGACCGTTGCTAGTGCTCCGATGCCGGTACTGTCTGCATTGCAGCCAACAGCAAAGCCTGGTGCTTAGAGAAATGGGGTAGCATGTGACCTCCTCCCCGTCATAGTGTTTAGGACTAGTAGCCAATTGCTTGGCCAGAGCTCTGCCACGACAGAGGGAGTGACAGCACCAGTTCTCATAGCTTCCTACACCAGTAACAGTGGGGGAACATGGGCAAGGTAAGCATTGACACGGGACATGCTTAAAAAAAAACAACATTATAATACCATTTACAATATAATAGATAATATATTATTGTATTTTTAGGTGATGCGGTGGTCACTCTGACAAGGGCGGCCTTGTTCACTGACAGTCGTTACTGGACCCAGGCCGAGCGCCAGATGGACTGCAACTGGGAGCTGCAAAAATCCGGTCAGTTGCTACTTAAATAATAATAATAATAATAATAATAATAATGTAACGTAAGTAGGGACAGTCATAATAGTTCAACCATATTGGAAACCCCCTTGTACATCAGAGTTCCCCCCTTCACACCAGAGTCCTACCATCAGAAAATGTTGAGGCACCCCTGAGGAAGCCAGAAGGCACCCCGATGTGCCATGGCACCCTGGTTGAGAAAAGCTGTCCTGTCTACAGGGCAGCTGATGGGAAATATCTACAACTAAACACAGGCAGGAAAACATAAACTGACACCCTTCCCTGCGCCAACCATAACTAAAGAAATTGGATCGACCTATACTTTCAAAGCAATGCTCCAACCTGCCAAGCCTGAGACTGGACATTGAAAGGAGGAGCAGCACATTGATGAGCTCATCTCTTTATCCCTCTGCTCTCTCCTCTTATCAGCATGCTTTCTGTGGGCGTGTGAACTGATTGGATTCTTGTACTGCTTCTTCCTCTCACACTCCAGCTCAGATTCAGGTACTTATATTTAAAGTATAAATCTAATGCTATATCGCAGGGGCTCCGCCCGTTTGTTATTCATTGTCTGTGACCTGCTAGAAGACAATAGCAGGTGCCGGCCAATAGGAAACAGTTGGGCGCAGCTAGCGGTCACTGCTAGTTCCGCTCAATTGTTTTTCTTTGTTGTTTTTTTTACATTTCTTTTTTTTTTTAACTATGTTATATCGCATGTGCGGCCATCTTGGTGATGGGCGCCGGCAGAGAGAGGAGGGGACGCATACCTCATCCCGCCGCGTCCCCTCCTCTCTCCTTACACGGTCCATGACCGAGTACCCGACTTATTAGAGGGGGTGACACCAAAATGGCTGTCAGTCATTTTGGTGTCACCCCTACAACGGTGTCACCCGGGCCGCACGCCACGCACCTCCCTTGTGACGCCACTGCTATATCGATGATTACAGAGCCGCATTCATGTGCATCCTTTCTATCAGCCTGAGTGTAGCTTCATGTAGTTGTTTGCCCAGGAAAATGGTGACTATCGTACATTCTGACATGGAACCTCCTGTGTTTTGTATCGTTGTTTTCAGTGTCTGAAATCGTGTTCTGGATCCTGCAGGAGGGGACATCCGGAGATGAGATTGGCTTCGACCCTTTCCTCTGGTCTATCAGTAAGTTTGTTTTTTATTTCTCCATCTCTCACCCTTATGTACAACGGCGATTCCAGAAAAGTTGGTCGTTATTGCCGAGCCAGATGAAGGGGCCCCAAAAGCGTGGCCCCAAAAGCGCTAGTGTTGGTGACATGACGTTCCAATAAATGAATCATAAAAACAGAACGCAATGATCTGCAAATCTCACAAACCCGAATTTTATTCACAATAGAAAATAGAAAAGTTTGTAAAATTTGCAAATCATCGAATTCTGTTTTTTATGTCGATTTGACACAACGCCCCAACTTTATTGTCATTGGGGTTGTACATAACGACGCATATAAGAATGATCAAGTCGCAATAAACTGTTTCAATCCCGTAGGGCCCTGTCACGCCATCAAGGGTGTGTTCCGGTGCGTTCAGGCCTCTGGCGCGCAACCCGGCCGGCTCACTTTGTTTTGGGGCGGGAGGGGGGCGTGGCGGCGCATTGAATTCAATGGCACCGCAGCCACGCCCCCTGCCCGCGGTGCGATCCACGTTCTATCAAAGATTGTGATTGGATTGGAATGTGTGACCGGTCACGTGGTCACATATTTTAACGTAATCGCGCCCAGTTTTTAGGCGGTAAAATATGTGACCGTCAAAAGGTGAAGAATTCCAACGCTTTCTCGGCTGTTTCAGGGCAGATCGGCATCGCTGATGGTATGTGCAGGAGAACCGATGTGCCCTGAAACAGCTGATCGGTCCTGAAATGGGACTTCTATCTGACTCTGTGAGTGTGATCTGACATTTCACAAAGTTGGATAGAAGTGACAATTCAGGAGCGATCAGCTGTTCTCCAGGGCAGATCGGTTCTCCTGCACATACCATCTGCGATGCCGATCTGCCCTGGAACAGCTGAGAAAGCGTTGGAATTCTTCACCTTTTGACGGTCACATACTTTACCGACGAAAAACTGGGCGTGATTACGTTTAAATGTGTGACCACGTCACCGGTCACACATTCTAATGCAGTCACAAACTTTGATAGAACACCGGCACCCCCAACACGCAGCACATTAGTGCCAGTGTTCCAGTCCAGTGTGATCTGCATAAAAGGCTGCATGCACTATTTTTTGCAGATCTCACTGGACCGGAATGCACACACGTTCGGGTGCCGGCAATCGCACCGCGGGCGGGGGTGTGCGGCTGCAGTGCCATTGAATTCAATGCACCGCCACACCCCTCCCGCCCCAAAACAAAGTGAGCCGGCCAGGTTGTGTTCCAGTGCGTTCCAGAGGCCGAACGCACTCTTGATGGTGTGAATGGGCCTTGATACTGTATTTAATCCCTGCTGGGAAGATCCCCCCTGTGTGCCCGGGACAGAGGGTGATGGAAATAAACAAAACTGTAACTTTTTCACCAGAATGAGAATAAACAGATAATCCTCAATAGGGACACCTGCTCCAGTGGCAACTGACAGATTTCCCATCATTTCGGAGAGATTTCCTCTCATTTCCTGTTGCGTATCTGAGGGAAATCTCCCCAGTGGGAAACAAACAAACAAACAAAAAATTTCAATCTCTGTATAAATAGTTTTTGTTTTCTTCCCGTAGATGAATGGGAGGCGTACAACAATTCATTCGAAGGTTCTGGGAGGATTCTGCGATCAATTCCCACCAACCTTGTGGATAAGGTGTGGGGGAGTCAGCGCCCCCCTCTGCCCGATAATGACATTTATTTTATCCCGGAGAACTTTCTAGGTATGAAAAGTAATTGCATTTGTTATTCGCTGCCACGTTTAAAGAGGATTACAGAGTTCCCATGACTAGATAAAACGTCAGTACGTATTACCATGAGTCACCACTAGGGTGACACTTGTACTTTTTTGTATTTTCTATTTATATTACTATTATTATTATTAACATAATACCATAAGTTACCACTAAGGTAACACTAGTACGCTTTGGTAAAGTTTATTCTATTATAGGAAACATAATATGTGTCACCATTGGGGTGATGCTAGTACTTTCTTTTAGCCCTCATTCACACTGTAATTGGCCGGCACATACAGCTCCAAGCTGCGTGCGCGGCCGTATCTGGCAGCTCCCGGGAAGGATAGGTGCTGCGTGTGATTAGTACGCACACCCCGTCCTTCTCTATGGGACTATGCGGCAGTACGCCGCCCTATGCTCAACCGCCCTGCACGTCCGTGCGGGTGCGGGAGAGCGTACTCGTACGCTGAGGGGATGGATCCTGTCTGCGTCCGAGCCAGGAAACACGCACCCGCACGGACCTGCATTTGAGGTGAGTGTAGGGGGGCGTACGGCCGCGTAGTCCCATAGAGAAGGACAGGGGCTGACAAACCAACAGGCACTTTTGCAGGTTCTTTAAAGGAGAACTATGGGGTAAGTGTTTTTCCCCATAGTTCTCCTCAGGAGGACATAAACTAGCAACCTCCCGTGACTCAAAGCTCAGTGTATCGCGAGCTGTGACATCCTTTTCGATAAAAATAGGGAAATGTGCATGAACGCAAGAGAAGAGGGGTCTAGTGGCGTAACAATCACCATAGCGACCCAGGCGGCCGCTATGGGGCCTGGGGTACACTGGGGCCCGGCCAGATGCCATGCGGGCTGCCTGGGATCCTCTGCTGGTGGTTTTCACTGGCGGCTGAAGACCAACACGCCGCTGTTCAGATCACTGACAGTAATCTGTGCAGCAGCGCGTTCCTCTACACAGAGTCAATGAGAGCCAGAAGCGGCGGTGGAGGAGGAGGCGGGGCCGGTGGTCGGCAGCAGGGGAGGAGGCGGGCCTGGTGACGAAAAAGGAGGCGGGCCCGGTAACAGAGGAGTAGGCGAGGCCCATCAGCGACCGTGGAGGAAGAGGAGGCGGACAGGTAAGGATAGCGACCAGCCCACCTGAGGGTGACGCTGCAAAGCCCACCATACAGAGTCTAAGGTGGGCTCTGCAAGTTCACCCTCAGGTGGGATCTCGAGTGGGCTCTGCAAGGGGTATAACTAGAAATCACGGGGCCCCATACAAAATTTTGCTATGGGGCCCTGTAATTTCTGGTTACACACCTGGAGGGATCTATTCATGAATGTTTTCACCCAAGGCTCACACAACTTTCACCCAATATTTATAATTTTTTTCTAATTGACTCTTATGTGAAAATGAGTGAATCTTGGATGAAACTTGTGTGAATCTTGGGCGCAAAACAATTATAAATAAATTCTGAGTATGTTTTACTTTTTCCATACACGCTCCCGTGGTCACAATTGTGCTGAGCCTACCAGCCACGAAATGTTTAAAGGGGGTACAATATAATGTTAGAACCTGGTAATGGAAGTGTTGTCTCTGTTCACCTTATTTCACTTCTGTGTTACAGGGAACAGCTGGCAGGAAAAGGTCATTCAAATTCGCAATACGATGGAAGCGCACCCCCAGAAACCGACTGCGCTGCTGCTCTCCGCTCTGGAGGAAACCGCGTGTAAGTTAGGGAACTAATTGGGAGGAAATGTAACAAAGACAAAGTGTAAATATTTCCATTATGTAGCTGCGGAGTTAACTACACAGGAAAAATAAGGACACATTTAGCATCTTTTAGTGGTGGTCATGTGACCGATCAGTTCCTAAATTCTCCTGCAGCCCAAAGGGCTAGAGCTGGAGAGACTGCAGAGGACACTCCTGGCTTCCACTTGTTGACCCCACGGGTCCCAGGAGACCTTCAGCTTCGCTGAAGTATGTGCATTGGAGCATCCATATTTGCTCATTATACATATTATACTGGAGCTCCCTCTAGTGGCTCAAATGCAAAGCTCTAGATTTAATATATTTACCAAAAATATCCAAAAGCAGAAGTAAAAAAATTTAAATAAAACACATTACAAAATGATACAAGGTAATCAATGCAGTTTTAACTCAAATCATGTTGAGTATTGACTAAAAATATACAAAATGTCCCTGTAAAATAAAATAAAATCATATACACTTCTGTTAAAGTAGATCGAAACCCAAACTTTGAGGATGGTATGTCTTACAATTTTGGTAAACGCTGTCAAAGCTTCTCACTCACTTTGGAGAGCTTTTCACTTACTTCCGTCTGTGTCTCTGGAAAAGGAAGTTAGTGGAAACTAGAAAGTATTTTTTTTTAATGAAGTTCTTTATTACATTTCTGTTTTTATTGGGGACATGGACCTACTCTAGATAGATAGATAGATAGATAGATAGATAGATAGAGACACACAGAAAGACAGACAGATATAGAGATAGATAGATAGATAGATAGATAGATAGATAGATAGATAGATAGATAGATAGATAGATAGATAGATAGATAGATAGATAGATAATCACTCCACCGTTAACATTGAACTTTACCTTCTATAGGGCTTTTCAATCTCCGAGGACAGGACATTCCATACAATCCCTTCTTCTACTCCTATGGAATGCTGACCAAGAACTCTATCAGGTATTGCACATGTAGTGTAGAAACCTAAAGAAGAACTCTGCTAAAAACTGTTTCCCCCTAAACTGACTAAATAACAATCCCATTGCAATGTCATGAATACAACAACCCTCTATGGATAAATGAAAACATTCTGAAAAGCTACATCTCCTTGGGGTGCCAGTTTTAGGGGAGGGGCATAGACACAGCACCTCCCACAGTGAGTGACGTCAGAGCAGGGGAGCTCACAAAATCAATAACTCGGGGAGTCTGGTTTTGCAGGCCAAGTCATTTCTATAGTCTATGAGCAGTTCTCCCAGCTTAAGTAGCCGAGACAGAATTAGTAATTAGTCCATTTTAGAGGTCTAACAGTAATGTTGTTAGGAACTGTAGAAATGCTTTGTTTAGGTTGGGGTTCTTCTAAGGAAACACCTTAAAATTCTGTGTAAACTCAAACAATGAATTTCACTTATTTGCTCACCTTTTGATCTGTTATCCAATTCTGGACATTGAACTTACTGTGCATGTCCACATAAACTTCATGGAAATACACGAGGCATTCTGTCCTTCTGCTTCTATGTTCTTCCAAAATGACAGGTGGAAGTCGCTGTGTAAAAACAGTAGATGTAATAGGTACTGCTGTTTATAAACAATGATCAGAGGGGGATAGAGAGATACAAAGTAACATTGTTTATAAACATTGATCAGAGGGAGATAGAGAGATACAAACTAACATTGCTTATAAACATTGATCAGAGGGAGATAGAAAAATACAAAGTAACATTGATCAGAGGGAGATAGAGAGATACAAAGTAACATTGATCAGAGGGAGATAGAGAGATACAAAGTAACATTGATCAGAGGGGGAGATAGAGAGGTACAAAGTAACATTGCTTATAAACATTGATCAGAGGGAGATAGAGAGATACAGAGTGACATTGTATATAAACATTGCTCAGAGGGAGATAGAGAGATACAAAGTAACATTGTTTATAAACATTGATCAGAGGGAGATAGAGAGGTACAAAGTAACATTGTTTATACACATTGTTTAGAGGAGAGACAGGATTAGGGATAGGATAGGATTTTCCCCTTGTCCCCGTAGCTATTTTTTTGCTGCTGATTTTTTTTTCTTTTTTCAATTTATCCATAAATATCTTTTGTCTTTTATTTTTTTTATCTGATATAATATTTTGCATCAGAACCATAATTTTAGCGTAATTTTAAATGAGACAACTGATAGAACAACATGTATACATTTTGTTCCAGCACAAGGGGCGAAGGGGGTTCTTCACAGTTAGAGCGGTTAGGGTCTGGAACTCACTGCCACAGGCGGTGATTTCAGCAAAAAACGTGGAATTGTTCAAGAAACTTTTGGACGATTTCTTAAGGGACCGTAATATACATACAGGGGTACAAGTACTCCTAAGAATGAGATCCTATAGGTTGGACTTGATGGACTAATGTCTTTATTCAACCTCAAATACTATGTAACTATGTAACTAACTTTTTGTTTAAACTAATACCGTGCACTGTAGTCCTAGCCTAGGAAACCAATGCTGCTCTTCCATAGATAAAGTACAATGAGTGTTGTCACCCTAGGACAGGAAGTGTGCTACTGGCAGGATCACCAGTTTAAAATAAAGGAAGAAAAAAAAAGCCTTAAAATAAAAACTAATGCAGCCAGTGCAACTTAGTCTAATCAGCTGCAATATATTACTTGTTTGATCTTGGGTACAATTTATTGCAATGAGTGCAAGAATTTGAACATGAATGATCTCTCCCCTTTCTGCGCAGTTTGTTTGTCAACGTCAGCCGAATCCCAGACACCGTCCGAAATTACCTGAGCATCAACTGTCCCGGATCCATGTGTGTCCAGTTCATTGAGTACGAGAAAGTCCGGGACACCCTGATAGACTATGTGAAGGGCGATGTGAAAGTTTGGATTGGATCGCAGTACACCAATTACGGAGTTTATGAAACTATACCTGCGGTAAATCATTTAGCAGTGAATGGTGAAATACTGTAGCATGCAGCAGGGCTGGCAGGGCCAGAAGAGGCGTTCCAGGGGTGCCAGAGAAACACAATGGGTGTGGGACCTCACAGTGCGGCACATGAATCATGGTAACCATATTGTTTCCCTTGCACATGCCTATTAGGCAGGCCTTCTGGATAGTCTAGAGGAATGTTTATATGCATCCTGCACATGGCACTTTATTTAGCACTTTTTCACTCTGAAGACTATGGAGGGTGCAGGTCTTTTGGGAGAATGCCCTAATGTGTGTGGGGGAGGGGAACATGGCCTTTATGGGTCTTTTTCCTTCTCCCACTCTCTTTGGGAAAGCCCCTGCCTGATATTTGAAGGATCGGCTTTGGCTGGTGCCGAAGGCTCAGGGTCCTCCTGGCTCAACCATTAGGTGGACTAGAGTGCCAGGGGTGCCAGAGAAACACAATGGGTATGGGACCCCACAGTGTGGCCCCCGGGAACATGGTCACCATATTGCTTCTCTTGGACATGCCTATTAGGCAGGCCTTCTGGATAGTCTGGAGGAATTTTTATATGTATCCTCCACATGGCAGCTTATTTAGCACTTTTTCACTCCAGGGACTATGGAGGGTGCAGGTCTCTTGGGGGAATTCCCTGATTTTGTGGTGGGGGGAGGGGGGAACGCGGCCTTTACAGGTTTTTTCCTTCTCCCACTCTCTTTGAGAGAGCCCCAACCTAATACTTGGAGGACCGGCTTTGGCTGGTCCTGAAGGCTCGGGGTCCGCCTGGCTCAACCGCTAGGTGGACTAGAGTGTCATGCCCCTGTCAGGAGCCTTGTGCCCCGGGGGGTTCAGGGATATTGTGGCCCTCCTTTTTTGAACTGTGCCAATCACCTTCGTGCACATTTTTTTTGCGTGCAGTGATTTTACTGTTCACTTTTTTTGTTCACAGGGGTTTTTGTTATGACGCACGCACTGCAATCCCTTTAAATAAATAAATAGATTCAATAAAAGGACTATAGCTTTCCTTTAACTTTGGAATGACCTGCGTGTTTGTATGATGGTGCTGGGGGCTTCAAACTGCCATGCTGGCCATACACATATCAATACAACTTTTTTATATAAGATCCTTTCAATAAAAGTTATATATGTATGTGTATGCGTGTATATGTGTATACAGTGTATATGTGTGTGTATATAAATAGATATATATGTATGTGTATATATATATATATACATATAAATATAATTAAGAAATTGATTGCAGTGAATGGGAAGCTCAGTCAGTGAACGTTCATCTTCATCAAGAGGAAATGATCGCTCCCGGCAGAAATTCCGATTAGGTTCAGTCGCTCTGTTCCTTTATAACGTCCAATAATCATTTTCTGGCAAATATCATTGGAAACAATAGAGCTTATGAGGGATTGGCTATTTCCCTTTCCTTGCATGGGCGGCACAAGTCCCCTGGGTCAGAGACTGGAATGAATGATCTTTGTACTGCATAAAGTCGTGGAATTTGCCAAGAGACTATAATTTAATTAAAGCTGAACTGTTGCCTTGCCTTAAGCTGTACCGGCTCCTCTACTGGACTGAAATGGCTTCCTCTGATATCACTGCACACTGGGATCTTCTCACAATGTGCATTAGAAGCTGCAGCAAGTCAGATAGAGCCTGCCCCATTTCCTGCTGGCTGGAGGACGTTCCTGTTGTCCTCAGGGCCGGATTTACTCTCCCTGCCGCCCCAAGGCCAGGTTCCGCAATGCACCCCCGTCCCCGCACTACATTTAGTCCTGCCTTCCCAAAGCAGGACTAAATGTAGAAGGCAACTTAACGCCCGGGGGATTCCACACCGCTGCCACCCGGAGGCCTGACCTCAGTGGCCTTGTGGGGAATCCAGGCCTGGTTGTCCTAGTACTGCAACCTCAGTCCCATTATATTTGGTGATCTTACCCCCACTTGGAAGGCCTGGCCACAGACCATTGTTCCCAGAGCCCGCCTCATTTCCTGGCTGGAGGACAACCAGCATCTTCTTGTCCTGTCCTTCCAAACCTGACTGTCCCTGGCCCCGCCCCTCTCATTCATTAGATCTCAGTTCTTCCAATAATTAACATTTACATGTGGGCATTAACTAGGGCAGTCTGCATGCCAATCTATCCTGCCTAGGAACGTCTGCTCCTCCGGGGAAGGCAAAATGTACACAGATTAAACTTTAGCTGTTAATAAATAAAAAATATATATTGACATTTGTATTGCTATTTTCTCCCAAATAAAATATAAAACGCCTTCAAGGGCCCCTAGAAGTCACCTGACATTGTATTTTATTAACTCATACTTGTCTGATTTATCTGCAGGACAAACTCCTCTCAGAGAACTACTCTCTGATCATGATAACAAAATCTATAAAGAATGAGAAGGAGCAGGAGTTATTAAAGAATTGTCATGTGAGTAGACTTTCCATTCTTTAACTCTTTAATGACCAGTAAATGTATGACTATGAGGTGACTGCCTGGGGAAACCTCAGGGGCGGGCAAACCGATCCCCCCCCAACTCAGCAACTGCACTGATAACCATTCGTTTTCTGGAAGTTTTTTTTAATACCTTTTAGCATTTTTTTCTCATTTTAACTGCTGGATCCCCCCCATCAATGGAGAATGACAACCAGATGGCAGGGCGGCAGGGTTAGTTTTAAAAAATGTTTTATTGTTTATTTTTATTTTTACTTTTTTTTAAAATGTATTTGTCTTATCTTTTACTTTTTTATTTTTTTTATCTTATTATTTTCTTATTTTTTTATTAATTTGTTTCTTATTTTTTTTTACTTTTTAATCAGCTTTTTTATTTAATTATTTTATTTGTTATTGTTTTATTTAATTATTTTTTTTAATCAATTTTTTTCACTTAACTTTATTGCTAACACACAGGAGCTAACAATCCCCTGTGTGATAGAAATTGGAGGTGACAGGTTCTCTTTATTGACCCTGTCACCTCCAATACAGGAGTTCTAGCACAGCGCTGTGCTGGAACTCCTGTGACAGGTGAGAGAGGAAAAGCATAGCACGGCACAGCATAGCACAGCTCTCCCCTCTCACTGTGTACACGGAACGGCAGGGTTACTTTTAACCCTGCTGCTTTGCTTCCTGCATCGGCGGCCGGTAAGAGGAGAGAGACTCGGCAGCAGGGGGAGGGCTGAGCCCGGAGGACGGAGCCAGCGAGTGGGGGGGAGGAGAGGACGGACAGGCTGTAGACTTATTACAAGTGATCTCTGCGACATCGCTGAGATCACTTGTAAACGTACAATCTGCTTCCCCACACTACATTTAGCCCTGCTTCTGCAGGACTAAATGTGGAAAGCTACTATGCGACTCTGTGACTGCGATCTCACATTCCACAAAGTCGTATAAAAGTGACATTTCAGGACCGATCAGCTGTTCCAGGGCAGATCGGTTCTCCTGCGCATGCCATCTGCGATGCCGATCTGCCCTGGAACAGCAGGGAAAGCGTTGGAATTCGTCACCTTTTGCCGGTCGCATATTCCACCGCCATAAAACTGGGCGTGGTTGCGTTAAAATGTGTGACTACGTGAATGACCACACATTCCAACCCAGTCACAATCTTTAATGGAACACCAGCATATAGTGCCCATAATGCGGTATTTTCCTGATTCACTCCAATCTTAGCAATTCATTACATTCAGCCTGCAAAGAAAATATATCAATAACATTCATTTTGCCTCCATGATCAGAAAATAAGTAGGCAGTTTCGCAGGGTGAATATCTCACACTGTCTTGTACTTGGTGTCATCCTTTCCCCATGGCAATCAGTGACATGCTCTCTTTCCACCCATGTATGGTAGATCCGAGATGCCGTGGCGGTCATTGAGTATTTGAACTGGTTGGAGAAAAACGTCCCCAGCAACACAGTGACAGAACTGAGCGGTGCGCATTATGTAGATGGACGACGAGCGTAAGTGTGTTTAATATTCCGATGGCTCGTTCTTTCATTGCTTTCTTGGTTTTGACCCCATAAATCTTCATCTGAAGACTTCCAATATCATTGTGAATGGGATCTTTAAACTCCATATTCAGTAAATAAAATAATATTATGATCACTGACCCCCAGTAGGAATTATTTGTGTCCTCCGAAAACCAATAGAACCATGTCCCAGGATGGCGGCTCTCGAAATCCCCCCTGTACTCATGGCAACATCGCCCCAACCATCACATGACCCCCCTCTCCCCATTAGAAAAGACATCCCTGGCAGGTGACATGGGCTCACCTGACGTGGCAACTTGATCTGTACCAGAGCACTCCACAATCAGAAATGGGCTGGTGCCCCAAGTGGCCCCTGGCTACTTTGCTGTAGGATGACACCAGGTCATATCCCTCAGCAGTGACTTCACTAGGGGGGTGCGGGCCACACCTGGGTGACACCATTGGAGGGGTTAAAATTCGATATATCCCATCGCACTCCTGACAGGAAAGTACCCAATAAAACAGGGTGGGTGGAGCAGCGACTGCAGATACCTGCGCAAATCTTAGAGAACCAGAAAAAAGTCACTCGCACTCCAGAGCGAAGCCCAGCCAATCTCTTTATTGACTATGGTGATGTAACATCTCGAAGCGACATTTCGGAAACCAAGTGGTCCCTTCCTCAGGCATTGGAGGGGTGACACCAAAATCAGTCATTTTGGTGTCACCCCCTCTGAAAAGTCGGGCAATTTGTCGTGGACCGAGAGCCCGACGGTTGCATGAGAGAGGAGGGGACCCGGCGGGATACCTTATGCTGCCGGATGAATGCCCCCTCCTCCCTCTGCTGGCGTCCATCACCAAGATGACCGCTGGCAGGTAACAGCGTGTGACCTCATCACGCAAGCACGATGAGGTTGCACGTGCGCAACGACGTTGCCCGCATGAGCGATGGCGTCACGGCGCGGTGCCACCCGGTACCTGCTCCGGGTGACACTGCGCCTTGGGACGCCCCTGTCCCTTAGGATTGCCCCACCAGGAGGCTGCAGTGCACTTAACCCTTTCGCTGCCAAGCCCTCCGGAACATTTTTCAAATCAGCTGGCCACGCCATTAGCTGCGTGAGTGACAGCTGGCTCTGCCTATCTAGAGGCAGAGCCAGCTGTACCCGCCCCCTCCCCTGTCTGCTCGGCCAGTCAGCGCTGGCAGATCGGAGCGGGGGGAATCCAGCCCCTCCTCCTGTCACGGCAGAGCACCCTGACAGGATCGAGAGGTGAGCGAACGCCGGTATGTGTTCGCTCACCTCCCGATCTACTGAGCCGACCTGTGACAGTCTCATTGTCACAGGTCGGCTAGAACTATGAGGTGAGTGAAAAGCACTCACCTCATAGTTCTCCTTTAACCTTTTGTTAGCCCTTAGTTAACCTAAACAGCTCTAATTACCTCCTTGCCCCCTCTTCTCAGATTAGCTATTATTATTCTGCTGATCTTTTAAAGTACTCCAGGAAAATACAATTTGATCAAGGGGTAAGTGCTTGTTTTGTCTATGGAGCGCAAATAACACAGATGTACTCCCCGCCCAGCTCTTAGGAACCTGGGACGTTCTGTCCAGAAAGGGAGCGACAGATACACTGCAAACATTGTGCAGCAGAGCGCCCCCCCCCCCCCCCCCCCCCCACACACACACACACACACGACCCAAAGAGATGCCCCATTATAGGTACAGGGCTGGGTCTCGGTGATGATCGAGTAAAGTGCTAGATAATGCTGGACATACTCCAGCCATTGTGAGAAGCTCGCAGTGTGCAATGAAATAAGAGTAAGCATTTCAGTCCAGTACAACCATTGCATGGCTGTAGTTCTGATGTACACATTATGAGCCCTGCCTATGTTCTCCTCATTGAACTACAGAGGACCTTCCCTTCTATATTATGTAAATGCGGGTAGGTAAAGCTGTTCTGCTGTCCTTACACACTTTTTATCCTATGGTGACAACACTGCTCCTCCTTAGATAAAGTACAGTGAGTGAGTATTGTCACCTTAGGACATGTAGTGGGTTAGTGGATGGATCGCCACTGGAAAAAAAAAGCCTTAAAGGAGAACTATGGGGTCAGTGTTTTTCCCCATAGTTCTCCTTAGGGTAACGGGAGGACACAAACTAGCGTCCTCCCATTACCCTAAGCTCAGTATACCGCGAGCTACAGCTTGCGGTATACTGAGACGTCGCAGCCGGAGCGGATCCCGACATGGACGTCGGGATCCGCCCAGCTGCGTGAGTGACAGCTGGCTCTGCCTATCTAGAGGCAGAGCCAGCTGTACCCGCCCCCTCCCCCGTCCGTTCCGCCAGTCAGCGCTGGTGGATCGGAGCGGGGGGAATCCAGCCCCTCCCCCTGTCACGGCAGAGAGCCGTGACAGGATCGAGAGGTGAGCGAACCCGGTATGTGTTCGCTCACCTCCCGATCTACTGAGCCGACCTGTGACAGTCTCATTGTCACAGGTTGGCTAGAACTATGAGGTGAGTGGAAATCACTCATCTCATAGTTCCTTTAATAATGAGAACCAACCACCACATCTAAGGACTGGTAACCTGCAAGTATATATAGTATTAAATGTTTGTGTTATATACCCTTTAATGTGTTATTAATTGCCATTATTTTACAGGAAGCAGGCACATTCTAAAGGACCGAGTTTTGAAACCATTTCTGCAGGCGGTTTGAACGCGGCTCTCGCACATTATAGGTAATGCTGCAAAAGCTATAAATGTTAATCTTGCTCTTAAAGCAGCAAAAGAGTTTTAAAACAAGCCAACCCTGACCTCTGTAACTGCTTTTATTGTGAAGCTGTTCAATGCCAAAGATCCTTGAAGATCCCAACAATAACTCTAAAGCCGAACTCCGGCCATCCAGCTGTGGTGCAACTACAAATCCCATGAGGCATTGCAAAACACTGACAGCCACAGGCATGACTCCCAGAGGCAGATGCATAATGGGAGTAGTAGGTTCTTTGTTGCCTTGTGCTTCTGTATTTCTCACCAATGTGTGAATCATGTCGGCTATTACTTACCTTGCCAATGCTATGGCAATGTGTAGACAAAATGAGTAGGGCTGTAGAAATTAAAGATTCATTTCTCGATTAATCGTTAAACTTTTTGATCGATTAAAATTATTTTGATCGCTAATGAAAACACTCGCCTCTCCGCCGGCTTCCGGGAGTCCCGTCGGTGATCCGGTGAAGTCACGGACATCGACGTCACCGGACCCCTCCCCCCTTCCCTAAGTGGCTCCGTCGGCTAACGAAGGGAAGGGGGGAGGAGTCCGGTGACGTCTATGTCCGTGAAGTCTAAGGAAGGGAAGGGGGAGGAGTCCGGTGATGTCGATGTTTGTGACGTCACCGGACTCCTCCCCCCTTCGTTAGCCGACGGAGCCACTTGGGCCGGTGAGTTTGCCTAAGAAACTTTCTGCACGAGCGCCAGCCAAGGCATTGGCCTATTCACATACAGCACAGCAATGAAGTAATACAATGAACTAGGATCACACTAATCCAGCACGTTATTATTCTGAGTTGCCCCACTCAAGCGGCGGCCATATTGAGTGGGGCACGTGAGATGAATAACGTGCTGGATTAGTGTGATCCTAGTTCATTTTATGACTCCATTGCTGTGCTGTATGTGTATAGGCCAATGTAGTTGGATCTGTATGTGCGTTATCATTAATCAAAATTGAATCGATTAATCAATTTAAAGAAATTTCGATTAATCGAACAGGAAAATTTTAATCATTACCAGCCCTAAAAATGAGCTATGGAAACGTGATAGAGCATAGGTGTGCCAAACACGGTTGGCTTAGAAGGTCTAGAGAGCTAAGGACCCACATTACCCCTTCTGAGGGAGGCATACATTACAGTGCCCTATTCAAGATGGTGGTATGGAGGAGATGAGGGAACATTTGCCAGAATACTAGGTAAGGTAAGTGTCTATGAAGAGGTAAGTATGTATCATACGGTTGCCATTTCATAAAATTATTAATTGTGCCTTTTTTTTTTATTTTTAAGATTTGGGTGACGTTCTGTTTTCATTTTCAGAGTTTGGGGTTACATTGCACTATCCCTCAGAGTCATCCTACTAGTTAAAAGGGCTACAGGTGTAGGTTACATGACTTATTGTTGGACTTTTTTTTTATCTAGTATAGGTGTACCCTAAAAATTAGGGATGCACCGATACCAGTGCCGATACTTGGCATTTTCATGAGAACTCCCAGGGTTGCAGCGGTTGCAGCTGGGACCTGGCTCTGGCGCTCCACCACTGTCCTGAAATCATCAGTCTGTATTGTTTTATAAAAACTGTCACATGACAATAAACAAAAATGTATCAGTACTCGTACTCGCAAAACTGGTATCGGTGCATCACTTTATTTATATTTATAAAAACAAATTCATACAATAAAACAGAGATGTACAAATCCCGGGAGCTCTGTGTGCTCCTTACACATGACAGCTGCTCCTAACTTTTACATTTCTCTCTAGTCTAGTCTTGGAGCTGGAAAAATATCGGTACTTGTACCGAGTACTGTACTTGGTATCAGTGCATCCCTACTAAAAATTAAATGACAGGAGCTTTTAGGAACTTGTCATTCTACTAAGTCCATCTTTTCATTTTACAGTGCGACCAATGAGACTAACCGGCGGCTGACTGTGAATGAAATGTACCTGGTGGACTCTGGGGGACAATATCTGTGAGTATTCTGCAGAAGGAGAATCTATTTCCTGCCGTATATGAAGAAGTCATTTTTCCTCATGACTATTCTCAATCTCAACGTTATATACCCAATCATTTATACAAATCAGTGACACCTGTTTGGGTATAAATGCTGGGGTATGTTCCTAGCACTCATTGGAGCTGAGTAAGCCACTCGGATGAGTGGTGGAACATCTTCAGCATTAGAGAACAAGTCTAGCTATATATGATTAACTACTAGCTACACTATGACCTGGATAATGAGAACCTTTACAGATTTACAAAGGATACAGAGCCTCCAGATGGCTGTAAATACTTAAGCATATAGCTATTTTACAAAGTGCTAAAGGAACCTCAAATCCGGGGGGGTTCTATAAAGGAAATTGCAGCTTTGATGGTTCCACTGGCCATGACTTCCTATTGCCCTTTGATGTAAGGGGTGGCCTTACTAGCCAATAGGAAAGTACAGGTGGTGGGAAATGGTGAGGTTATACAGCGGTGGTGCTGGCTGCGGTTGGAATTTTTTGTCCAGAGCATTCTGGGACATAAGGTTACTTAGTGGTGGCTTGTCATAATTACCACCCCACAGGTTTGCTTTAAGCCACTTTGGCTGGTTAGGGTCATGGTCAGGTCCTTCCCTATAATAAGGCAGCCTCAGGCAGCATCTCTTTGGGTGACATGGAGAGGGGCGTCAGGCAAAGCGGCATGGCTGTTCTGTTGCACAATGTGCCTGCTGCCAACTTTCCAGCCAGAGCATCCTTGGTTGATAAGAGTTGAGTGTGGAGATGTGTAAGGGCCATTTACATCTCCCTGTCCGCCTCTTAGTAATCTGGGACGCTCTGGCTGTCGTCCCACCAGCTTCTAGCAATCAGTGATCTCACTGGTTGCAGGAGCTGGGTGGGATACTGGCCAGAGCATCCCAGGTTGCTATAAACTGAGCCGTGAGATGCAGAGCTTGCAGAGGATGGTGTCACTCTCCTGGCTGGTGGTGCTGTCCCCTCTACCCCGCTCCCACGTGCTCCACCATCACCAACCCCAACCCCCTGACTCTGTAAAGGGTGTTGCATACCTTTTATTTTGAAGGACCTTGAATGTACTTAGCTGATGGACTAATATTTGCTATTCAAAAGAAGACAATATTTGTTTTTGAATGTTTTATAGTGATGGAACGACTGACATTACAAGAACCGTTCACTGGGGGAAACCTACTGCATTTGAAAAAGTATGTTTATTCAGCACAAATGGCAAGTCAGCCACTCCATGGCGAGAAATGTCTTCTGATTTTGAAAATGCGAAGCGTTGAACATCAAATTTTTAGTCTAGCCAATGTGTCCAGCTAAAAAACACATTTGGGGTCCATTTATAAATGTTCTGCCCTGCAGATAGGCTGGGCGGATGCTGCTCGCACAACACTAGGGCCCCTAGATGGCGCTGATGAGATGGCGCTTTTTCTGTCAAACAACAGAAAAGCAGATATAAGTCAGAAACAGCCTAAAGGTGCCCATACACTGCACGATTATCGTACGATAATCGTATGCGATCGGTTTTTCGTACGATAATCGAGCAGTGTGAACGGAGACGTGCGACCGTTTCTACTGTACGGTCGCACGTCTTCTGTCGAACCAGCATGTTCGAAAACCAGCCGGGAATCGTACGATTCTCGGCTGGTTAGAACGGTGCTCGGAAGATAAATGCTGAACGGGCCGGTGTGCGCACGCGCACACTGCCCGTTCAGCATTGCGGTCATCGGAAGCCCGCCCCTCAGGGGGGTGGGCTTGCGATGATCGAGAGTGCGATCTGCCTGTCCAAGATAGGCAGATCGTACGTTTTTTGAATCCCTTTACAACCATCGCAAGACTAAAGTCTTGCGATGGTTGTAGAGTGTATGGCCACCTTTAGGAGCAGGCTTGGTCCCAACTGAATCTATGAAATTTGTTCCAAATTTAATGTCATCGGAATTTCCGGATGGACTCGTGATTGCAGTTTTTACTCAATTTGCAACACAGAGAAAAGACATATTAATTGTGTTAAAGAGCTGACTGAGAAAAGACAAATTAAAATGTAGGTGCTGGGTGGAAATGTATCTAAAAGCACATAATAGACACACCCTACTGCATGCACGTTATTATTATTATATAGGATTTAAATAGCACCAACAGTTTGCGCAACGCTTTACAATATAAGGAAGACATTACAATCACAACACAATACAAATACAAGATGGTAAGGAGGGCCCTGCCCCTGAGGGCTTACAATCTAAAAGGGAGGGGGAAGTGATACATGAGGAGGTAGCTGTGTGGGGATGAATTGTTTGAGAATGTGATGGTTGAGTGGTTAGGTTGAGGTGGGATAGGCTTCCCTGGAGAGATGAGTCTTTAGGGATCGCCTAAAGGCAGTCAAGGTGGGAGACAGACGGACAGGTTGGGGTAAAGAGTTCCAGAGGATGGGAGAGACTCTAGCGAAGTCCTGGAGGCTAGCATGGGAGGAGTTGACGAAAGTGCTGGAAAGCAGGAGGTCTTTCGAAGAGCAGAGGGGACGGTTAGAGTGATACTTTGAAACAAGGTTGGAGATATAGCCGGGGGCAGAGTTGTGGACGGCTTTGTAAGTGATTGTTAATATTTTGAATTTTATCCTTTGGGCTATTGGTAGCCAGTGGAGGGATTGGCAGAGGGAGGTTACAGACACTGAGCGGTTGGTCAGGTGGATAAGTCTAGCAGCTGCATTCATGATAGACTGAAGGGGGAGGAGCCTGTGTAGTGGAAGGCCAATGAGGAGGAAGTTGCAATAGTCAAGACATAGATGTAAGACACTGTTTGGATCTTCTGAGAGCAGTCTTAAAATAATGACCAGGATTCAGCAGGCTCAGGTTGTGATAGAGTGGTTCAGGGAGCATGAGACATCATTGTCACACATGGATTGGCCACCACAGAGTCCAGACCTTAACCCCCTTGGGAATCTTTGGGATGTGCTGGAGAAGACTTTACGCAGCGCTCCGACTCTCCCATCATCACTACAAGATCTTGGTGAAGAATTAATGCAACTCTGGATGGGAATAAATGTTGTGACATTGTATAAGCTTATGGATATTATGCCACGACGAATGTGTGCCGTAATCAATGCTAAACGTGGGCCAATGAAATATTAGAGTGTGTGACTTTTTTTTTTGGACTGGCAGTGTATGAATGGGTCACAGTTTAGGAAACAGTGGGGGTAGAAAGTATCTGTGCCCCCAACTGTAACCCTTTCAGATGCCAGTTTCTATTTTTTTTTATGAACGTTCCTAATTGTTTCCTTGATATTATACTAGTTACTGCTCGATGGGACATGCAACCCCTTCAGGTACAGGAATGAAGAAACCGTGATGCTTGTTTTGTTGAGTTTATTGGCTTTATTGTATCTTCTAGGAAGCTTACACTCGGGTCCTGATGGGGAATATTGAACTGAGTAGACTTGTATTTCCACAACAAACATCAGGTATGTTCACATGAGGTGTGTGCAAGTGGACCTGCACTATGGTGATAGTGATACACCCAGCTGCTGTGTTCAATTTGTATGGAATACACACAAATTAGCTCAATGAAATCTAAAAAACTTGTCAGATCTGTATCATCCTATAGGTTGGACTTGATGGACTAATGTCTTTATTCAACCTCAAATACTATGTAACTATGTAACATTTTATATAGATCATTCACTTGAGCGCAGTGTCATTTGGATTTCATGTTCACATGAGGATCCAACTCTAAACATTGTTTTCATTTAGCAATAATGAACAAGTTCTGTGATGCTCCAGTCCTAGATCACATGACTTGAAGCCACAGCCGAATCGTACGGGACTGCTGACCTCAGCATAGCCTTCAGTCAATGTGTAAGAAGACTGCTGATATCAGCATGCTTAACATAGACCTGTCTTGGGTCATGTGACCCACAACTGAAGCACAAACCTCATTTTTATAACCGATAGATCATGTTTATGCATGTTTGGATTCTAACAGTTATTTCATGTTTCCGGCAGGGAGAGTCATAGAAGTGTTTGCCAGGCAAGCCCTATGGGAGGTAGGACTGAATTATGGACATGGAACGGGACATGGAATTGGAAACTTTTTTGCGGTTCATGAGTGTAAGTCAACCATTAAAAGACAAGCGTTTCTTTTATTTAAAGCAACTCTAAATCAATCAACTTGACTTTTTCATTCCCCAAACTCCAATTTTTTGTAAAAGTCAACAGCCAAGCCCTCTTCTCCATCTCCAACCCATCCCCTGACCACTGACTTTTGGAGAGACAGGTGACATATGACTGTGACAGGAAGGGCAATGGTGGCTTTCATATGTGGGCTGTGACTGACTGACAGCCTGACTTCATCTTCTCTATGTCATGTGAACGGTAAGATGGCTACACCCGGGAGGGGGAGGGGGGGATTGTTGGATGCCGGAGACCACCAGGAGAAAATTTGTTCACTGTTTACACAATGTCAAATGTGAACGTGCAACAGAGAGGGTTGCTTTAAAGGACAGCTGGACCTCTAAACTAACTTTCACTGAACCATATACCTACCTTCCCTTAGCTAAATTACATTACCCCTCCCCACCATCAACCCCCCTTCGCTGCTGCTCACTCACCTTAGTTCCAGAGCTGTGGACTCCAGCCTTGTTCACATTCCGAAAGGTAAAAATGTCTTCACTGCTTTTCCACTCCTGTGCATTGTGTCCCAAAAGAACGGTGCTGTATAGCAAGTCTCCATAAACAGCCCATTCAAGCCATTGGGGACAAAATGTAAAGGCACGGCCAGTGCTGAATACATTTTTGTTTGAAGAGACCGGGGATAAAAAGAGGATAAAAAGAGGCTAAATTCACTCAGATGGATGACATAAGACCACCACTACTTTTTTTTTTTTAACTCATGGTACTTTTATCCAAATAGGATTCAATTAACATCAATAAAGATATTACCAGAACCAACAGCGCCGAGTGTTCAGAACAAGGGACCAATGTACATGTAAAGCTCGAACAACAAAACAATCAGCCGAAAATTGTCACCACCTGGCCTGGCCCCCGAAAAAGTCACACTCTCTAATACTTCATTGGACCACCTTTAGCTTGGATTACTATCGCAGTGACATTCTTTCGATATCTTATACAATGTCACAACATTTATTTCCATCCAGAGTTGTATTCATGTTTCACCAAGATCATGTAGTGATGATGGGAGCAGTGAGTGATGACTGTGTAAAGTCTTCTCCAGCACATCCCTAACATTCTCAATGGGGTTAAGGTCCGGACTCTGTGGTGGCCAATCCATGTGTGACAATGATGTCTCATGCCCCCTGAACCAATCTTTCACAATCTGAGCCCGATGAATTCTGGCATTGTCATCTTGGAATATACCCAATGTGCCATCTGAGGAGAAAAAATCCAACCTGGTCATTCAGTATATTCAGTGAAATTTTTATAAAGCTAAACACTTTGAGGTTTTTGCTAATGACAAAGGGGCACCCTTCCACCCTCTGCATCTGTAGGAAAGAGGTTTTATCTTTGCATATGGAAAGGCTTCTTTTCTGTATCTTTGATGGGAGATGGTAACTTACAGTGCTGTAGTTTGTTATAAAAAAAAATAACAATATTAAAATAACACCATAGATTGCTGATCCAGGAAGTATGCAATTGCTTTAGGGGATCAGAAGGAAACTTTTGTCCTCTTTGGAGAGAGACACTGCTTTATAAGGGTTTTATTGGTTTCCTCTGAATCAAGTATGGGTTTAATGTTCTGTGTATGCAGGTTTTTAATTTAATTTGTTTTCTGTTGGTTGAACTCAATAGACATTGAAGAACTAACTATGTAAGTTTGGCGAAGAACATTTCCTGTGGCAGCATGACTGTCCCCTGTGTACAAAGCCAGCTCCATAAAGACATGGCAAGATGAGTTTGGTGGGGAGGAACTCAAGTGTCCTACACAACCCTCAACCCTACTGGAACACCTTTTGGGATGAATTGGAAGGCCAATTGAGAGCTAGGTCTTCTCATCCAACAACAGTACCTGACCTCACAAATGTTATTTTGCCTCAATGGGCCACGATTCCCACAGACACCCTCCAGAATCTTGTGGAAAGCTTTCCCCAAAGAGAAGAGGATGTGATAGATCAGAAGATCTTTTCTTAATACCCAAAAAAACATCACTGGACCCTACCAACCTCAACCATCTCAGACCAATCTCCTTACTCCCATTCACCTCCAAACTCCAAGAACACCTTATCTACGGCCGCCTGAGCCGATACCTCGCTGATAACCTTCTCGACCCCTTGTCAGTCCGGCTTTCGCCCCATACACTCCACTGAAACCTCCCTCGTAAAACTCACTAATGACTTACTAACTGCTAAAAACAACGGCCACTACTCCTTACTCTTGCTATTGGACTTTTCTGCTGTTTTTGACACTGTTGACCACATGCTCCTCCACTCGCTTGGCCTACTAGATTCTGCTCTCTTGTGGTTCTCCTCCTACTTATCTATGCGCTCCTTTAGTGACACCTACAAATCTAACCCCTCCTCTTTTTCTTTATGTAGGAGTCCCCCAAGGTTCTGTCCTTGGACCCCTTCTCTTCTCTATCTACACCTCCTCCCTTGGTCAGTTAATACCCGCTTATGACTTCCAATACTATCTCTATGCCGATGACACTCAAATATATCTCTCCACTCCACAACTCACCCCCTCTGTGTCCTTGCGTGTCACTAATCTACTAACTGACATGTCCGTCTGGATGTCACAACACTTCTTAAAACTCAATCTTTCAAAAACTGAGCTCATGATATTTGCCCCCTCCCATGCACCTTCCCCCAACTTTTCCATTGAGGTTGTTAACACAACTATCCAACCCTCCCCCCATATGCTAAGGTGCTAGGAGTCATCCTTGACTCGGACCTCACCTTTCTTCCCCACATCCAATCCCTATCCAAATCCTGCCGCCTTCACCTTCCTAACATCTCCAAAATACGCCCCTTCCTCACCAAAGAAACCGCAAACCTACTCATCCACTCCCTTGTTATCTCTCGTCTTAACTATTGCAACTCCCTCCTTATTGGGCTACCACTACATAGGCTCCTCCCCCCTTCAGCCTATCTTAAATGCAGCTGCTAGACTCATTCACCTCACCAACCGCCCAGTGTCTGCACCCCCCTCTGCCAATCCCTGCACTGGCTTCCAATAGCCCAAAGCATAAAATTAAAAATATTAACAACGACTTACAAAGCCATCCACAACTCTGCCCCCGGCTATATCTCCAACCTTGTCTCAAAGTATCACCCTAACCGTCGGCTCCGCTCTTCCAAAGACCTCCTGCTTTCCAGCTCCCTCGTCATCTCCTCCCATGCTCTCCTCTGGGGCTTCTCTAGAGTCTCTTCCATCCTCTCGAACCCTTTACCCCAACCTGTCCGTCTATCTTCCACTCTGACTGCCTTTAGGCGTTCCCTAAAGACTCATCTCTTCAGGGAAGCCTATCCCACCTCAACCTGACCACTGAACCATCACGTTCTCAAACAATTCATCCCCACACAGCTACCTTCTCATGTATCACCGGCCCCTCCCCTTTTAGATTGTAAGCCCTCAGGGGCAGGGCTCTCCTTACATCTTGTCTTCCTTATATTGTAAAGCGCTGCACAAACTGCTGGCGCTATATAAATCCTGTACAATAATAATAACAGCTTTCATCAAAAGCGGCCCCATCATGTCCATCAACAATATCTCATTGCCCTGGTCAGGTGACATGTCTGCAGCTATGTTACTGTACAGTATATCCCTGTGCCAAAAAGTATCATACAAATGATTAATTATCTATATCATTATTTTCTTCTCCAGGGCCGGTGGGATTTCAGTCCAGCAATATCGCCCTGTTCAAAGGAATGTTCTCATCCATCGGTATATTCACATTTTAATGTCTTATTTCATGTGATGACTAGAAAGCAGACGAGACACCCAAATCACACAGGGATCCTTGTTACACTTTCATTAAATCCCAGCGGATTTTGGACTTTGCAGTTTAACAGCCTCCAGTTGGCTTGGCTTGGTTGGTGTTCACAAGCCTCTCTGCAGCTTAGCGGTATAACTGTGTAATCAGAAACTCTGCAGAAGTCGTACCCCAGACCTGAATAACTAACAGACAAAAATATATTTTACTATCAAAATATACTGCCAGACAATGATCTTATAGAAAGCAGTAAACTGTTATAAACTTATAAATAGACATCTAAGCTGCGGAAAAATTCGGTTCGGTTCCGATATTTCGGGATTCGCATCCGAAATTCAATTCGGTTCGGGATTCGGACGAAAACCGAATTTCATTTGTTTCGGATGAGTTTATGAATATTCTATGTGAATACCACAGAAAACCATATACAGATATCAAAGGAGAACTATGGGGTCAGGGCTTTTCCCCATAGTTCTCCTAAGGGTCACGGGAGGACACAAACTAGTGTCCTCCCATCACCCGAAGCTCAGTATATCGTGAGCTACAGCTCCCTATATACTGAGACCGCCGCAGCCGGGACAGATCCCGACATTACTGTCTGGATCCATCCAGCTGCGTGAGTGACAGCTGGCTCTGCCTATCTAGAGGCAGAGCCAGCTGTACCCGCCCCCTCCCCGTCCGTTCCGCCAGTCAGT